GAGGAGTTATACTTAACTAGTAAATTGTTAAAGCTTTGGTTGGGTAGAAGTGCTTACAGTAACGAGTATATTTGTTTCACGTCCTGGTCCAAGTGTGTCTTGGTTGTATGCTATGGAATGACCTGAAAAAGTCTAAAACAAGTTTTAAAAACATAAAATTGATGGCTTTTGTTATCTATTTCTCATAAACGGCACCAATGATAGGGTCCTAAAATGTCCAAGTAGCTTAGGAACAAGAATTATATATTGAATAATCGATTAATCTCTCAATTCTAATAATTTGATCAATTCTCCCTAACTAAGATGGCTGATAATTGGTGTCTAGTGCTTAGTAAGCTAAGGTGGTTAGTAGTTGATACCTATAAAATAGATGTAAGGATTTTCATATGCTTAAATAAGTATTTATATAGAGAGAAAATATACAATGATATTTTAGAGAGAAAGACTCTGGAAATATGTACGCTAAAAATATAAAGAATAAAGAGATGATGAACCTTGAGTTTAAAAGATTCATGGTGTATTTATAGTCCACATGTATTCTTTTTTTGTAGAGATGAGGGACTAAAGTTTAATTTCACCCTTATGATATCTTAAGTTGTTCTACTCAAAATAATATATATTAAATCGGTATAAAATATTGAGGGACTTGCGTAGAGTATTAGAAAAATTCCCAAGAAAGTCTTGGGCTCAAGCAAGTTATCTAAGTCTATTAAAGGTAAAAAAAAAATAGGCTCAAACGTGCTATTCAAACCCAAGTATGTTGAGCTCAGTCATGAACCAGAGACTGCTGGCACTAGAAATTAGAGTGCAGATCAGAAGAACTAAAACATAGTAAAGTCAATTGATGAGATCTCAAATTTTTAAATTAAAAGCTCATAAACATACAAATTCAAGGTTTTAATTAAACAGCCAATGACAACAACAAAAAGTAACACATTGATGTATATCACAAATAATTAGAAATCTTAATATCTAAGTTGAGGGGCGAGACTCCAGCAAATTTTGAACTTTAGTCCCAAAATATTTAAGATTTTTTAAATATCCCCTTGAGTTATGGCTCGCTAATCTTCTTTAAAAAAATATACGTTTTGCCCCCTAAAAGTTATTTAGTATTTTATAACTATAATTTCATTTCATTTTATTTTATTTTCCAACACATCCTAATATATTTATAATGACATAAAAAGTGTTAAAACCTCTTGAAAAAATATTGTAACTCCACACTTATTTATAATATTTATTGGAATAGTATAATAACATTTTTACCCCTCCTTAACAAAAAAATAAAAGTTAGCATTGGTTACCAAGGATGTTAGAGTCTTTTTACATAACTTAATTATCATTACTAGATTGATAGGGGATAAATAATTTTTTTCCCTTCTTGGACCAAAATATCCAAAGAAGCAAAAAATCTAAACTTGGCATTAGAGAGTATTTTTATATTTCTATAATGGTTTTTTCATTATTACAATTTCAATTAAGGGTCAATTCGATATCTAACCAACTATAAAAAACAATAAACAATTAAATGCCCTTAAAAATAAAACCTAGAGTTAAGGGGTATTTTGATATTTTCACAATAATTTTTGTATAATTACTAAGTCAACTTTGTGGCGATTGATATTTAACTAAATAAAAAAATATAAAATAATAGGAGTGTGATATTCTAGAGGCACGTGGAAGGTACTTACACCCTTTAGGTAAGGAGTGTGACGCCTTCTAGCTTCCAAAAATAATTATTCGTCGTGTTATTGGAAGTACTATCATATTTTTTTTTTCTGTTAGTATAGTGTGTGTCTTATATAATAATCTGGTTTATCACTAGTATGATGTTTTTTTTTTTTCTCCCTTAAAAATCACTACTTGTTTTTTATCTGTTGATTTTTCAACTTCAATTTTTTTTATTTCTATTTTTTTATCATAACTTTTTTATAAAAGTTTTATTTATTTTCAATTTTATCATGCAATCCCAATTTACTAAATATTTTATTCTTTGATTTGTTCCTCATCTTTTGGATTTTTATTTTTTACTTTGTCCTTTTATAAAAAAATTATTGATTTTTTGTTTTATTCATTAATTCAAATTAATGGTATTATATTTTTCAATTTACTCCTTATAATTTTAATTTTTAATTTGACCCCTAATATCAACCTTAGATATATATATAATACAGTCATGAAAAAAAACTTATATATTCATTCCATCCGATGACTACCTGTCTAATAAAATTTAATCTTTTGTTGATGATAAATCAATTATGCCTCAATTCCTAGTATATGACCATACTGTTTGTATATGCAGGTAAATATTGTATTGTAGCTGGTGGCTGTATCCCAAATACGGAATTGTTCTCGCCTAATAGTAGCTGGTGGCTACATATAATTTGGACAGGCTATTGAATATTAACTGTCAAATTCAGACCACCCATGCATACGATCATAGTTAAGCATATCTTGGGGCGACATGAATCAGTTGATTCAGGACATGGTCAGCCTGAACCATAACTAGTATTGAGTTTTAACAAAACATTAATCTAAAGTTAATTTAATTTTACTCTATTGATTCGATGAATTAACTAGATTGATCTAATAAGTGAACTCATAATCAAATCTTAATTTAACTTTAAAAAATTTAAAATAATAATATTTTTATTTTAAAAAAATTAAATTAACTTAAATTAATTTAGTTAATTCATAGATTGATCTAATAAGTGAACTCATAATCAAATCTTAATTTAACTTTAAAAAATTTAAAATAATAATATTTTTATTTTAAAAAAATTAAATTAATTCAAATCAAATTTAATAATTTTATACATAATATAAAATGAAATAAATATAATGATACTGTCAAATTCATGCAAACATCAAGTTCAAAATTTACATGTAAAGTAGTAAATTTATAAAAGCTAACTATACTAATAAAGTATATCATGTACTAAAAGTTCTTGATATTTTACTATAGTAATGAAATGTCAAAGTTTTTAATTTTTAAATTTGATTTTTTAATATTAAATTAATTAATAATTGAGTTTTATAATTATTTTTAATTTATTTTTTATAGAGTTATTATGATCTCATTATTAAAATCATAAGTTTTACAAATTAAACAGATTAACATGGATTTTTCATATTTTTTTGTTAATTGAATATTTTTTTAATTTTATTATTTAAAATTATATTTTATAATTTCTTTTATAAATTTACCATTTTTTATGATCTAGATAAGCTAACGCCGACTCATATTTTTTTTAATTTAATTTTTTTTTTAATCTTTGGCATCTATTATTTGTCATTGCCTGTATTTTATAGTTTTTCCATGGTTTTCTCCTGGGCTGCTATTCCCATCACTGTATCACGGTTTGGGTCTGGACAGGAGTGAGGGACTTGATTTATGAATCATAAGATTCATTAATGACTTATGCTGGCCCATGAGTCCAAGCTTTAAGCCTAATGAAAAAGGAATGGTCCTGAGCTCAGTAGTTATCAGTAGCTGGACTTGTACTCCAAGCGTAGAAACCAACCACAATTCTCATCTCACCTGCACTCAAACTAAAGTTCTCATAGTAAAAAGTTTTTATTTCATCAATCTCTTCTTTTAAAAAAATCTGGGATGCTATTCAAATATCTTAAATAGATTAAAATTTTTAATCTAAATAGAGAAAGAATCCAAAAATAAAAAGGTAAAAAAAAAAGGTATTGAGCAGTAACTTCTAGATTAAATTTGAGCATGTTGCTGACCTGAAAAATTTAGGCATCCAATTTAGAATAGAAATTTTGCTCCACTTCAATAAATGCTATGAAATATCATTAAAAAGTAAGATTACAAGGAGAAAAAATGTGAACGTTGTGAATGAATAAAAAAGAATGGTTTGTGGCAAAAGTGGCGATGAGACTAAAAGTTTAGTGTAGCAAGTAGCTAGCTAGGTTGATTGGTGCTTCGACCTCGAGAGTTGGCCAACACGAGTAACCTACTATTTCCAAAAAGAAGCAAGGTGTATCCATGACAATGAATCATTTAAGGGCTTCAATAATGAAATTAAACATTTGATGACTTGAATTAATTCATGACAGATTAACCAGCAGCTGCAAACAGAAAGATTGTATTATTCATTCATCCAATATTACAGGAGAAAGTAAAGGTTTATTTGAAAAGAAAGCCTCCAAGTTCCCAATCACAAGTTCAACCAAAGCCATCAAAGTTTCCTCAGTGTGGACAGCTCTATGCGGTGACAGGACAACATTGTCTAATGCAATGAGCTCACTGGGAACATGAGGCTCGTTCTCAAACACATCCAATCCGGCACCTGCAATCTCTCCTTGCATCAAGCACCTCACCATTTCTTGCTCGTCTATAATAGCCCCGCGTCCGACATTAATGATCAATCCTTTCTTCCCCAATGCTAGCAAGACTTCCTTCTTAATCAGGTGGCGAGTATGATCATTTAATTCACAACAAATTATGAGGACCTCACAGTTAGCTGCTAGCTCACAGACATTGGAATAATAAGGGTATGATACAGATGACTTCTTGTTCCTTGAGCTGTACAAGATATTGCAGCCAAAGGGCTCTAGCCTTTTTCCAACTTCTAGGCCAATGCTTCCAAGTCCAACAATCCCAACTTTCGTGCCTCCCAACTGAAACAGCAAACATCACATCTTATGGAGAAACAAATTACAGCCATCAACTACACAGAAATAGGATATTTATAATTCAATTATCAGCACATAAGATGGCAATTTCTTTTTCTGTTTTTTTTCT